TAACTAAAATAACAATATCCACAAGAACAATTCTGTATATTATTAGTGTTACAAAAGTAAATGTCAAAGAAGTTGTTTACTATTGGAGGAAAGCAATGAAAGCGAGTCTACCTAATAAAAATACAGATTAAACATAGTAAGTATGATAATACTGCTACTTTGAACGTGAAGATAAATTTTCCAGAAATCTATTTTTTGATGAGTATTCAATTCACATCGTATATTCTATTGGATGACTATTTTGAATTAGTTCACAAAACAAGCCTTTTTATAAAGGTGTACAAACGTGTATTCTATGAGAATCTGCCACCTCATCCTTAGCAGATATTTAATTTGCTCAGTGCAAATCCCTAAACAAGCCCTATATTATCACCACATGCTAGTCTCCCAGTAAAACACCTGAAAAAGCATAATATTTGGAAACATTAGTAATTCTGAAAAACCATTAAAAAAGGACTTCGGTAATTAAAGTTAACACTGAAGTAAAAAGTAAAACTCTTATAAATATAATTACACTAACAACTTCTAGCTTCATATACATCAAAATAAACTAATTGCGGTTAATGTTCACCATGATATAGCCCGGGAATATTCATGTGGCAACACAAAACAAAAATTGTAATAATCATAATATTAAACACTGGATATTCAGCAAATGTGAAATTTTCCTGCTATGTCAGCTTAAAGAAAAAAATACAAAGAATACTCTGGGTTCTCAAGGTGACACTCATCTTGGGTTCTGTGTCATGGGACAGAATATTAGCTGTGACAAAAAATGAAAACAAGACCCTTGGATTGCTGAATCTTCGTGATAAAATGGATCCTATACTACAATGAGTTGTCTTATCTTTAGTGATTATATATTCACTCTGGCTCCATGTTTAACATCTCTTAATACATACATTAGCGTGTCAAATATCCCAGTTAAATAAGCAGCTTTCCTCAGCTTCCCCTAATACATCATAATTCCTCCTAGATCTCCGCTTTTGTTCCAGGTGTGGTATCTACCCTGCATAAAATCTTCCCTAGAGTCTCTTTACAAAACCCTGTGCTACTATAGGATATATTTTCCTAGTCACATAGACATCTGCCTTTTTCAGATTTCCTCTAACACTCACTTGTTCTGCATCTTTCCAATCCATAATCATACATAATCTTGGAATATTTTCAAATCTTTCAATTATAATAATGTCCATGGAATACATACTTTGCACCAAGTAATGTTCTCAACACATATAACCTGTAAAATAAGCCTATGAATCAGAGTCTACAATCATTCCTATTTTATAAATGAGCAAAGAAACTTAAATAGTATACAAGGGCACAGAGCTCATAAACAGTAAGCTCTGGGTTTACATCTAAAGCTCTGGACAAAGATCTTGTTCTTTGCCACTGTGAAATATGATCTCATGCAAATACCTGTTATCTTCAACTAGACTGCAAGGTGAGGTAAAAAAGATGTCTTTCACTTCTTTTTACTTCTTTCCAATACCTTATATTTTGTTGCACAGGTGTCTAGAACTGAGGGAGGTAGAAAGAATATATCCAGAGAATTTCCTAAGGAAGGTCTACAAAATGTTCTATTGGGGATTTATTTGTACTATGCATTCTTTGTTGTTGTTGTTGTTGTTGTTGTTGTTTTGAGAATTGAACTTGGGAGACCTTGTGCAGGGTACAGAACCACTGAGCTAAATCCCTGTCCCCTATACTACGCATTCTTAAAGGCCCAGTCAACTAATGAGAGGAGCCTCTAGAAATAAAAATACAGAGAAAGTAAGTCTTTACCTGTACTGATTTAATGTTCAGGGTGACAAGCTGCTTACTTAGCACACTAGTTCCTCTTTTAGTTTATATTTTATTACTTTTACTCAACTCTCAATGTTGTAATCCAAATAATACCTTATTTCCTATCTGCTTAATAACTTTGTGTTCACTAAGTGGACAAACATTTACAAACAAAGAAGACAGATAAATGGGACCTTTCTTTCCTTGGCGAGCACAGTATTAAAAACTGGGACACTCACATCACTCTGTGCAGGAAAACCGCAACAAAGTAAAAGCAGGCTGGCTGAAGGCTGTCTTCTCCCCACACTTTCAACTTCGAAGCCCCCCAAAGAAAGAGTAACCGGATAATAGTGGAAAGACATTTAAAAGTAAATTAGAACAAAACTATAAAGTTTTTCACTAGCTTCACATTTCAGGGAAAGAAACCACAACCAAAAACATCCCAATCTGTAAGTACGCTATTAAGTAATGTAATGTAAGCATTCAAATACCTACACAGTTCACCACAGTTCTGCACAAGGATGTTATTTTTACTGATAATTCAACCAAGCTCCTGCCACATGGCTGAAGAGTCAGCCAAGCCATTAATGGATCTGCATTTTTATCATGGGGAGTCTTATCATTCTTAATATTACACACTTCCCCAGCACTGATTCTGATTATTAACTGCATGGGCTCTTCATCAAATCTCCAATGAATCACTTACAAAGGCAATTCTCTTCATCTCAACTCCTACTTTTCATGTCCATAAAATGCACAAGCACATATTGCATTACTAGCATACGATAATTTAAATGAAAGGAAAAATCAATAATCTGCTCCACATTATAGTTTTTTACTGGCAAATTCAATGAATTCAATTTTGGTCCTTCTACACACACTCCTCATACATAAAACTCAGCTATTCTGTAGATATCAAGTTTTGGGTTTGATTGTTTTTGAGAGGCATGTACGTAGGGCAAAACATATAGGTCTCCAAATATCCACTTTTTAAATTTATAATTACACAGTTGAACCCTTCTGTGATGACAAATATACTAAACGGCCATGGCCGTCCTGTCATGTATAAATAAACTTTTCAGCAGCAATGCTTGCAAAAAGGAGGACTGCCACATTACCATTAAAAACTGACCCCAAAAGAACTGCTACATTACCACTAATACCTATAGATTAGTTTAGCTAAAGAAACCAAAGTAAAACATACGGTTTTATGGCAAGAAAGTGATAGAACCAACTGAAATTGTAAATTGTTAACTACAGTCTCCAGAGCTAATTCAACTTTTCCATGTGAGTGAACCACAAACAAAATCACACAGAATATGTTTCTTCAGACATCTATAAGAACCCTAGTGGATGGATGAGAAGGAGTACAGGTATCTGTTAAAGGCTACAGTGCAGCTAAGGATATCAAAATGTTATATACATAAGCCTGTGGAATGTAGCCTCATTTCTCTGAGACTAACCATTACCATCACCTAGAAGTTAACCCATGATGAATAAAAGTGCATTGCTTCGGCCCTCTGCTTCCTATTTTCTCAAACCAATCTACCTTAATGTTTTTTGTGCCTATGCTGAGCAAAACATTCCATAAATAATGCCGTGGTGCACAAGCATTAAAGTTTAGAGTTTCTGCCTCTGAAGTAGGTAGTGACAGGACCAAGGACACACAGGTTCAATTCCAAGCCAAATAATAGGCGGGTGGTTTGAAAATGTCAGTCCAAAGAGGCCTAAGGGAAAAGGATAGAGGTTTCCTTTGCCACCACCCTCTCTCTCCCCTCCCCTTTTTCCCTCTTGTTCCCTTCCACTCTTCTCTTTCCTTGTGGTTTCTCATGGAGACGACAATCAAAGCAGAGAAAGCTGGGTTTTAAATTACTGTGATACACACTAGGAATATGTAATTCCCAGGAGGGGGGGTGGAAAAAGGAAACTGCTGGCGGGGGGGGGGGTGTTGGCAACACGTCTAAGTGACAACCCTCCCCACCCCCACCCTAATACAGCACAAATCCACAGATTCTTCTCAGGTCCTCTTCTCCCAGTTTCCAGTACTCTATTCAACTTGACCCCTAATCCTAGTAATTTAGAGACCTGCAGGGCATCCACAGTGCAAAAGTCTCTCTTAGGATACGTGCCTAATTTTTCTGGGAGCCCCTGAATCCGGACAGTTGTAGCAAGCGAGGGATGCTCCCACCCTCTCACTGTCTGGGGAAGGGGCAAAGAAAGGGGAGAGAGAGCTGAAGACAAGAGGAGAGGGATGCAGAGCTGAGCTTGAGGACGAGTGGTTGCAAGGAAGACAGGGAAGAAAGAAAGGGTGGGAAGGAAGTGGAGCCCGGAGAAAGAAAGAAAGGGATGAAAGAAAGGCTGGAA